GCTGTCAAAAGGACCTGTAAATTTAACTGCTGTTACCGTATTTTCCGGCGTATAAGACGACTGGGCGTATAAGACGACCCCCGAACTTTCCTGTTAAAATATAGGGTTTGGGCTATACTCGCCGTATAAGACTACCCCTCTTCCAACGCACACCAAATAAAAATTAAAAAACATCAACTGGCTCACCCACAATGTAAAAGCAGCTGTGCTAGATCCAAAATGGCCCCTGCAACAAGCAGGAACTTCACACAGCCACAAAAAGCCCCAAAAAACAACTTTCACACTTTATACACACACAACACAACACAACTGGCTCACCCACAATGTAAAAGCAGCTGTGCTAGACTAAGGTGACCAGATTTTAACATTGGTAAAGAGGGACATTGTGGGCGTAGCTTATTTTGTGGGCGTGGCTAGCTGGTCATGTGACTGGGTGGGTGTGGCTAGCTGGTCATGTGACCGGGTGGCCATGGCTATGTGTATAGGGACTACTCAGAGGGCTGAAAAGTCATTTCTGACAGGTCCTCACACTTTTGACTGGTCCTCACACTTATGACCATCCTCACATTTATGCCCGTACAGTATTCTTAACAACCATGTCACTCATTTCACAACTGCTTCTCTTCACCAATGGTGAACAAGATAGGGCAAAAACGTAAAATGTGAGGACAGTCGTAAGTTCGAGGACTGGTCAAAAGTGTGAGGACCAGTCAAAAATAACTTTTTCAGCCCTCTGAGTAGTCCATATGCACAAAAGGTCTAACCAGAGGGCTGAAAAAAGTCATTTCTGACAGGTCCTCGCACTTTTGACTGGTCCTCACACTTATGACCATCCTCATATTTATGCCCATGCAGCATCTTAACAACCATGTCACTCATTTCACAACTGCTTCTCTTCACCATGATGACAAGATAGGGCAAAAATGTAAAATGTGAGGACAGTCGTAAGTTCAAGGACTGGTCAAAAGTGTGAGGACCAGTCAAAAATAACTTTTTCAGCCCTCTGAGTAGTCCATATGCATTAAAGGATACAGCAATAGAGAGGGATGAAGGAATGGAAATTAGAGTAGGAGTGAGGGTAAGAGAGGGAGGAAGAGATGAGGAGAAGGAGAAAGGAAGAGGAAGTAGGGAGGAGAAAAAGAGGGTGGGGGGAAGAGAAAGTAAGAAGGAAAGAAAAGAGAGTGGTGGTAGGTTTGAGGAGAAAGATTGCTGTACAATAAAAAAGATGAAAGGGAAGAAAGCCAACCCCAAGCAAATATAAAGATATTAAGATTAAGAATGAATTGTTAAACTTTAAAGAATAAAAGAGAACAAATATGAATAAATAGCAGTAATTAGAAACACACATACAAACATACAATTTATTTTCTTTGAACAGAGTATTTGGCCGGTTCACAAATTTAAACAGTGTTTAGTCACTTCAATTAAATTTACAATTTCTATATTTCCTTTTTGCCATATTTATTCCTCATCTATTTTTTTTAAAAAAACCAATATTACCCTTCATCCTCATCTCTAATCTTAATCAAATTCAATTTTTCCCTTCTATTCTATATTATACCCCTTCCCATTGTCATCTATTTTTATATCCATCCTCACATTGTTTAATTATGTAATTATGTAATACAGTTGTTTAATACAAATTCAACATTTAAATATAAATCAATTAGTTATATAACTACCTTTTTTGTATATTAATCAATATGAACATGAATATTCCAATTATTTCCATGCAATCCAATTTCTTACAAATCAATTAATTATATTTACCAATAATAATAAACCAAATAATTTCCCTCATATATTCCTCTGAACCACAACTTAACCATTTCTGCTTTCAACACAATATACAATTAATAGTATCTCAATTATTACAATTCCCTAGTTAAATACAGCTTTTTTTTCTTTTGTGTTTTAAAATCTTGAACTCTCCTCCTAAATTTCCCATTGTTTGCAGTTTTTCACCTACCTTTTTTGGGGAGGAAAAATAAAAATAAAAATAAATCTCTCTCTGCCTCATTTTGTCACGTTGCACCAAAGATCCTGGTTTCGGTTTCGTTTCTGCAGCTTAGCTAGGGGAAAAAAAAACTGCTTCAGGAACTCTTTACACTGATTGCCTGTAGGGCGGCCCTTTGAAGCCCCGGGCAAGAGTTTAAACAGTTTTTTTTTTCTTCTAGCTATCAGCTGGGGCTCAAGAGGCAGCGGGACTCAGGAGGAAGAATGAAAAATCGGGACTTTTTTGAAACGCCGCGGGACGCGGGACAAATTGCTAAAAATCGGGACTGTCCCGCCAAAAGCGGGACGTCTGGTCACCTTATGCTAGACCCAAAATGGCCCCTGAAACAAGCAGGAACCTCACACAACCACAAAAAGCCCAAAAAAACCCAACTTTCACACTTTACACACACACAACACAACACAACACAACTGGCTCACCCACAATGTAAAAGCAGCTGTGCTAGACCCAAAATGGCCCTTGCAACAAGCAGGAACCTCACACAGCCACAAAAAGCCCCAAAACCCAACTTTCACACTTTACACACACAAAATTCCACATACAGCTTTGTAAGATTTTGTGTGTTTGTGTAGTTAGAGTGAAACACTACAAAAACACACTAAATCTCAGAAAGCTGCACAAATATTATTTTATTTTATTTTTATTTTTATATGAAAGCTAAATTTAAAACTTCCTAAACTTTAAATGGCTAGGTCTAAAAAAGAACAACTAAAAAAAAACCCAATTAACTTTTTTTTTTAAAGCTCCCAAAGGGGGGAAAAACTTACCCAATAGAACAGGGGTCTCCAACCTTGGTAACTTTAAGACTTGTAGACTTCAACTCCCAGAATTCCTCAGCCAGCTTTGTTTTGCTGGCTGAGGAATTCTGGGAGTTGAAGTCCACAACTCCCTGCCTGCTTGATTGCAGGCAGGGAGTTGCTTGCTGATGGAATGGATTCAGGCAAGCAAAGCAAGGCAAGCGAAGCAAGGCAAGCGTTGTGACTACCAGCTAAGGTAAGCAAGCTGGAGGGGGAAACTTTTTTCCTTCTCCATGGCTCTGGCGATCCCAGCTGAGTTGCCTGATTAGCAGATCGTCAGAGCTTGGATCGCCAGAGCCATTTAAGGCTCGTCAGAGCCTTTCGGGCTGATCTGCCTGGTTACAGGAGAACGACACCCGGCGTATAAGACGACCCCCGACTTTTGAGAAGATTTTCATGTGTTAAAAAGTTGTCTTATACACCGGAAAATACGGTAATGCTTGTTCATATAGTTTGAAATCCTGAGTAAATACCTTGTAATTATCTTATCAGTAAGGATGCTCGGGTGTGGGAAATTCTCATGAATTAATCTATTGCTTTTCTTACAGCGTTTTGTTTTTTTTTAATTTCTAGGCCCTTCCTCGATTTAACAGTAAAGGTGAGGTATTTAAAGTACAAATAATGAATGTGAGCTGGTCAGCGGATCACAGAATCATTGACGGTGCAACCATGTCTCGTTTTTCTAACTTGTGGAAATCTTACTTGGAGAATCCTGCTTTCATGCTGATGGATCTTAAGTAAAGAAGACAAACATCTGGATGGCTTACTTTAATTCCAAAAGTGCAATCAGGCTACTTAAGCTAGCAAGTGCCATTAAAACTGACTTCATACTTCAGAACTGCGTAGCATTTGCTAGATCTTTCAGATCCTGGCTCTGTGTCTTGATTATCTGTTACATTTTTGTCTAGTTGAATCGCTTAGTGGTAAATTATTTGCCTAGAAGTTGTGATGGGTCATGGTATGACTCCTTCACAAGGTGGTGGAAACCTATGGTGACAAAATAATGCTATATTCCACTTTTACGGTATTATCAGATGGAGGCCGCTAATAATACTTATGGGAGTCTAAAATGTCGTGCGCCATGCACAACCTGCAACCTGATTAGAAATGAAAGTCCCTGGATGAAAACATTAACCGAACGTTAACTATTTCTTATGCAATTAATTCACTACAGATGATATTCAAATAAAATGTTTTTAATGATTATTTTATTAAAGATGCAAAAGTTCATTTTTTTGACATATAGTGCTAACTGTTCTCTTTTTAAAATATTCTTTTCAAATATCCAAGTTTTGTAGCAGACATTCTTCATTACTGAAATGAATATGTACACTAGAAGAATGGCAAACCCTGGACCATGGATATTTCCCCCCCACCCCCCCAATTTGGAGCTGGCTTTTACAGCATAGAAGTAACACCAGGCACACATAAGATCCAAGGCTGCATTAAGCATTTCTGTAATGTATGAAGCTGCTAACAGTTAATGTGGAGATCTTTGAAATGTCTAATAGTAGTTTGTAAACTATTGTTTTTCAAACTTGGCAACTATAAGATGTGTGGATTTCAGTTCTTGAAGTTCACACATCTTAAAGTTGCCAAATTTGAATAACACTGTTGTAAACCCACCATTTTCATAGACAAAGTCTTGCTATGGAGCCATAGATGAATAGCTTGTTCAGGTGTAAAACATGCTGTAAAAACTGAAATAGGATTAAAATCTATATACTCCAAAAGTGGATATGATTATTAGGGGGCCTTTAAAAATGACCACATGCTTTTAGCAGAATATTAAAAATTTCAGAATGAAAGTTTGTGGTTAATGTCAATTTAAGGAAACTTATTGTAAATGTGTAAATATATACATATATATGTTTATTTAAGGATCCTTGTAATATATAATCTGTGAAAGGGGAACATATCTAGATCTGGGTGTTTCTCTATATTCATTATTTTGAGGAACAAGCAGAAGAAATGTAAAACTGATAAATCAGTAGATCTCTAAGGAATTTTATATAACACATAAACACATATACATTGAACATTTCTTTGTTGTTTTTGTTTAATAAAGCATATTTTAATAAATCCCACTTTTTACAACCTTTGTAGCTTTATCTGGGGTGCTATTATGTGACTCTGCATCCTCTAAACCGGGGTTTTCCAAAATGGTCAATATTTACCCCAAGAATCAATGGGATTATCCAAGGAGTTGATATTATTATTCTAAAAGTATTATTTATTAAATTATTTTTATATAAATGTTTATATGAACTTCTTGATGGGGTCAATGAGCTGAAGAATTTGTGGACCTCTGTTCTAAGTGCGCACATCCATGTAAGAGCTACAGTTTCCCTCATTGTCCTCGTGAGAAAGCATCATTGGCAAAACTTCCTTAGCCCTCACGTTTCAATCTTCCTTTGTACTTCAGGCTCCTATTAAAAACTGAAGTCTCTGGAAGTTATAAAAAAATCATTCCTTCTTGAATCGGAGCTTAACTAAAATCTCAGGAATGGATTCTTGGTATTTACTGTTTTACAGGGCTGTGGCCTGGATTATGATCATTTTAGTCATTGTTATCAACTGTAATTTTAAAATTTCCCCCAGCACAAATATTTGTGGTGGTAGTTGAAGCATTTCCAGCTGGTTGCTGGACCAATGCATCATTTTGCCAGGATTGTCAGTAACTGTTTCTTTGATTTGTAAGTCGCGCTTATGCAATCAGTAATGGTACCTTGTGTTCTTGTGATTCCTTCACATGTCTTCTATCACTATCAGAGCCTTTTCCAGTGATTTATCCCTTCACACACGTCCAAAATATCTAAACTGTAGTTTCACAATGCCACCAATGACTAGCGTGCTTCACTTCATCTAGTTTTCAGTTATTTGTTCTTGTGGACCAAAACCAGCAGTTTTCTCCAGCATCTGAAAAAAACTGAGAATTCCATGATCTCCAAGAAAGCTTTAATTTTGCTTCATTCAGCCTTCCTGATGGTCCAGGGTTTACAAATCTCTGTTACAACAGAGGGACACCGTGGTCTTGTCTTTAATAATCTCTGTCATTAGTATAATGTATCTATTCTAGTTTGTCTAGAATCAAGATCTATTGTATTTTTCCCTCAGGCAGAACTTTATTTTATGGCTGCGGTCACTGCCTTTGTGAAGGTTGTTACTACTTGAACTTGTTCCTGCCAATGTCATGGGTTAAAATTAGAATCTCACTGCCGTGACATTTTGCTCTGTCATAACTGACAGAAAGGGTTTAATGGCTTTAACAAAGCGATCAAGATTCATGACGGAATTCTTACTGTACAGAAATCTCTGGGTCATGGAAAACCATCTGTGGTTTCAAGTAAGTGGTTGATAAAATCCTTTAATTCACTCCTGGAGGGGGTAGTGAATTGGCAAGTTGTCGCTTCGCAGCTAAAATTGGGAGCGTGCTTTTCAAATGGCTGGTAGTTCCCAATTGCCAATCTTTTGCACAGTTGTCAGACAGGCTTTGTCCCAAAGCTTCTGACAGACAACAGGGTCTGCATGTAAGACTCTAAGAATAGGCTCTGTTGTTAATGGTGAATTAATGGTTTGTCCTTCCTATAGAAGTTTCTCCTGGATGTCAATTAAAAATCCAGAAATTGAAGGCATTTGTCAATCTAACGTGAGTTTCCTCTTTTGCTCACAACACTTCTGGATACCATGCCAAAAAGTGAAAAGTGGGTGCTGAGTTTGAATGCGGAAGAGCTATGACTGAAAACACTGTTTGTGTTGGCTCATTTGTGGCTATTAAAGACCTGTGGGAAGTCAGAATCCAGAAAATTACCGAAGAGCTTCGGAAGCAAAAAGAATTCAGTCAGAAGGCTGCGGGGAGGTAGGTACTCAGAATTGGGGATCCTTTGGACGAGAAGTATGATCACATTTCAATTGGGATCTCCCTATGATTTTTTGGGAGTTCTCCAATAGTGTGAAAAACAGCGAATAGAGGTGGTAAAAAAATTTAAATGTTCCAAAATACTGCCACTCTGTTCTGCAAGTAGCAATAGTAGTATATTCCAGTATTCTGCTATTAAAGTCTCTTTATGTCAAGGTACCAGTCCCAAGATGATAACTCAGTAGTAAATGCAGTGCAATATGATGATTTCGGAGCTTTTGGTTTCTGAGAAACTGATGCTAACCTGCATCACTGTTTGGATAGCACAATTGTTGATTTTGCTGCCTGATCAGTTCCAGACTCCAAATGTTTTAAAGCCTGATGGAAGTTGCAGCAATAAGGAAAATGCATCTTTAAAGCTTTACAATTTTTATTTCTAGACTGACAATTATTTGGGAAGAGAGGGCCAGTTTGGCCAAGCTGAAAGGCAAAGTAATCAACGAAGATGGAAGGGCTGTTTTAAGGATTGAGCAGGAAGAATGGCAGGTATTTGTTCAAAAGCTACTAAGAGTTGATTTTTCATTCTTCACTGCTTCAGTATTTTGATTCATCTGTTTAATGGTCAGCAGCTCCCCATTTCCCGGAGAACTACAAGAGCCATTTGTTTTGGATGAGAGCTCTTGAAAACATGTGAAAAGAACATCATTTTTACTAAGTATAGTAAGGATGCGATTTATGCGAATTCAAACAATGAAATATTTGATTTAGTGTGAATTGTAAATTGATATCCGGTTGGGTTTAATGACACCCAAAAGTCAGTTCAGGAGAGACTAGATCCATGATGGCGAACCATGCCAGAGTTGGCACGCAGAGCCCTCTCTGTGAGCACACACAGTGACCAGCTGCTCTTTCAGGTTCCAGTGTGTGCATGCACACCTGCCAGCTGCTGTCTTCTGGGTTCTGGTGCGTGCAGGCCATGCGTGCACCGGAACCCAGAAGAGAGCAGCTGGCCAGTGCGTATGCGCGCCGGAACAGCTGTCCAGCGCGCATGCGCACAACAGAACTGGGAAGAGAAGCTGGCCGGGTTCCGGCGCACATGCACACGTGTGCTCTAGTTTTGGCACTTGGTGCCAAAAAGGTTAACAATCACTGGACTAGATTGTGAGCAGTTAAGGCTAGTACATGCAGAAATGTTCATCTTTGTATGTGTAAAATGGAAAAAAAGAATTATTCAGCCAGAGGAAAAGAGAACAAGTTCAAAAAAAAAGAAGAGGCTTCTTAAAGCAAAAATTTGATGTCGTTGAATTACATAAATGTCATAGCAACACCAAAATAGGACAAGATATTGGAATGCCTAAATCTACAGTGCACATTATAATAAAACAGGCATGGGAAATTTTAAAAAGGGCCAAGTGGCATTACCTTTTTGTTGTTTGTAAACATCTACTAGGAGGTTGAGAGATAATGTTTTAATAACTATAAGATTACCTTTAGGAATAATAATCAAAAAATTTTGTTTTTAGATAGTTTCTAAAGCCACTATAACTTTGTTAATAAATTTAAATTGTAGCTATACGATAGTCTTTTTTATTTTTTACTGTAAACATATATATATTATTTTGTTCTTTTAATTCGTAGGTTCATATGTATAATACTTTTCTAGTCAGGGTTTTTTCCTACGTAGCTCAAGATGTTTGTATAGCCATAGTGGGGTGATATCTCAAATCACCACTTTCAGGCTTTGTCAGACATTTTGTGTTGTCTGTTGTGAGACTTAAGGGAGACTGGGATAGTACTATTTCTCTCTTATGAGACTTATGAGAAAGTGGTGATTATATATATATAGTGTTTACCGAGACACCTGGTCTACCCCAACATGTGGGAGGGGGCATTCTGCTCCCTTTTGCCTTTCCCTTAATATATCTATCTATCTATCTATCTATCTATCTATCTATCTATCTATCTATCTATCTATCTATCTATCTATCTAATTATTTATCTTTGAAATTATTCATTGCCTATTTCTGTCAAGCTAGAACCAATTGCCATATTTTCCATAGAAACACCAGTTCAATAGTGCAAATTCAAATAATGTGCCATTTCACTGTGCATAAATAGTGCAAATTCACTGTGCATAAATAGTGCAATATTCAAATAATGTGAGATTCATTGTGCATAAATCAAGATCTAGCTGTTTTGATTAAGGATTTGATTTTGGCAATAGTTTTAAACTGCTGAATTGATATAAAATCAATTCATTTTTATACGCAATACTAATCCAGTGTTACTTTGAAAATTCCTAATTGGTTTATAAGTTTATTTTCTGTTCCTTTATTTTTTTTTATCTCTCTTTTTGCTTGATTGTGTTTCTTAAATATCTATTTTTTTAAAAAAAACCTGAGTTTTGTATGTAATGTATGGCAACATTATCTTAGAGGGTTTTTTTTATAAGAGGCTATCTGTATTTTTGCAGTCCACGTTAGGTACACTGTACTTGGTGTCATTCTCTTTAGTTCCTGAAACTGATTATTGCAACCTTTTTATATACAGGTGGTCCTTAACTTGCAAACTTTCTTTTATTGAATATTTGAATTTCCAGTGGCACGGAAAAAACTATTTTTTAACTGGTACTCACACTTCAGACTATCACAGCATTCCCCAGGTTCATGAGATCAAAATTCAGGCACTTAGCAGCTGGCATGTATTTACAATGGCTGCAGTGTCCTGGGTCATATGATCACCATTTGCAACCTTCTCAGTCAGCTTCCAACAAACAAAGACAATGAGAGAAACCAGACATGTCTAACACAGGGGTGCCCAACCCGTGAGTCGTGGCCTACCACTGGTCTGCAGCCTATTGACAACTGGGCCACGTGAGTGGCTGGCTAGTGCGAGCACGAGTGCGCAGGAGCTCGTGACCCCACTTGCACGAGCATTGCGGGTGCTCAGGACCTCACTCATACGGGAACTTGGGGCCCCACTCGTACGAACGTCATGGGTACTTGTGGCACCAGTTGTGTGAGCACTCAGTGCCTAACTCATGTAGGGGCTTGTAGCCCCACTTGCATGAGCGTTGCAGGCACTCAGGGCCCCACTCGCATCATGGGCGCTCGCAGTCCCACTTGTGCAAGTGCTCAGGGCCTAACTTGTGCTCCTCTCATGTGAGCAATGGATGCTCATGCACGCACATGCACATGCCCCTCCCCTTCTTTCCCCTTCCCCCCTCCGAACTCTGGCCCAACAACCATATGCTTCACTTAACTGCTGTGATTCACTTAACAACCATGGCAAAATGGTTGTAAAATTGTGTACAATTCATTTAATAATCACCTCACTTAGCAACAGGAATTCTGGTCCCCAATTGTGGTTATAAGTTGAGGACTGCCGGTAATATTATTGATTTGGGGTACTTAGAGACTCTACCACTTTTTGTTTTCTCTCATTCAAATTTAGACTCTACCTTCTTGCTTATTGAAACTGAATTACCTGCAGGAATGGCAACTTCACAGAACTAATTTGATCAAAATCCCTCACTACATTGGTCGCTTTCAAAACCTCATTGTGCTAGATCTATCTCGAAATTCCATTGCAGAAATTCCTAGGGAGATTGGTGAGTGTCATGTCAACATTCCTCCTTCAGAGGCAATTGCCTCTTCAGGTTGGGTTCTGAATTAGAGAGTTCCTTAAAATTATGGAAGTACTTAATTTTAAAAAATCATATTTTGGAAACAATTTGAAAAATTCCTTCGCTATTTTGTTGTTTAACTTTGCTTTTTGGGTTCCTTCAAAATGTATATTGTGCTTTATAGCATTAAGAGATGTTTTCACTCTATTCCAGAAGGTTCCCATGATTATCTTATAAAATTAATGCAACAGTAAAACAGTGAATCTTGAAACATTATAAATATTATAAATTTATTTTGACGTGTTTTTTGTAACAGTCCACTTTCATCAGATATTGACAAGATTATTTATTAGCAATAGCTGCATTATTTATTAGCAATTAGCAACCATTATTCTCTTGGTGGTGCATATCAATGAGTCAAGAAAGGAGAACAAAAGACTACTCTGAATAAATGACACATAAAAGTATATAATATCATATACATGACTGCAACTATCATTAAACCTCAAAAGGATGTTAAAACAGAATTGTCTGAGTCTTTTGCAATGTTAAGAAAATCGTAGTGAAAGTACCTCCACAGGAGCATGTTCTGGAGCATGAGGGTTGCTAGCATAGGAGCTATTTTCTGGTCCATCTTTTATTGAGCAGAATTTCCTGTTTTGTTTTTTTTAACTTCCCTTGTCCTCAATTGACTTTCAGTTTTATCTTTCAAGAAGTGTGTTGTGTTCAGATGCTTTAAAGAAGAGACATTGGGGTGAATTGATGGGTTTGTTCAACATAGGATAAAGATTTCTGGCATTTGGCAATCTGAAAGAAGCAGTTGCTTCTGTAACAAAGGAGTATTTTTTCCCTTAAATTTTTATATTGTTCTAGACTCCTGATTTCTTCAGTGTCCTAAGTCAGGGGTCCCAACCCCTGGGCTGCGGCCCTCTACTGAACCATTCGTAACCAGGCTGTGTGAGCAGCAGGCTGGCACATGCGTGCATGCACAGCTCAACCTGTGCAAGCAGCAGGCCAGCATGCATGCACATGCAACTCAAGGTGCGTAAGACGAACTGTGCGGCATGTGCTTACACTCAAGCAAGTTGAGCTGTGCACGTATACATGCACCAGCTTGCCATTTGCACGGCCCAGTTCTCTTTGTTCCCCCCTCCCCTCAGCCAGGCTGCCAAGCTGCCAAGCTTGGGGACCACTGTCCTAAGTAACCTTCCTTATGTGTAATGAGACTACAGCTTGCAGAATTTCTTATCTCATGGCCTGAGTTTGGAAATTCTGTGCTGTAACTCTGATGCATCTGAAGGACACCAATTGAGGACAGCTGAGTTACTTATTGTATAAAATTTATAGACCCACCAACTTCATCAACTTAAGAGTGGCTTAGAGTAAAACCAATTTTTTTTAAAAAAAAGGATAAAAATAATGGAAACCAAAAGAACAAAACCTAATTATGCAAAACATCCAGTGAAGATAAGCCCCATCCAAGAATGGAGGAAGAACAGGTCTTTAAGACTTATTTAAGGGACACCAGAGTTGAGAAAATGAAAACTTCTGATGGGATGGGTATCTGAAGAAAATGTTGAGCTCCCAGTAAATTATACAGATTATTGAATATTTGTCGTGGGCTGGATCAATCATTATGTAACTAAGAAGTGAAATTAGTTTCTAATAGTGGTTCTTTGGCAATCTGACATTTCTATGAGTGGTTGTAAAGTAATGTTAGACTGCTAAAATGAGACTTAAAAAATCTGTAGTAGCTTTCTCTTAACACTAATATTCTTGATGTTTTTCCTTTCCCTCCAATTTTAACAGCTTGCTTTTTGTTTAAAGGGAAGCTTTTTGCAAGTGAATATTAAACCAAGGCTTTCTTTAATCTGTCTTACTCCTATAGGTCAATTGTCAAATCTTCAGGAGTTGATCCTCAGTTATAATAAAATTAAATTGGTTCCTAAAGAATTAGGCAACTGCGCTGGCTTAGAAAGATTGGAACTGGCAGTAAATAGAGACATCTGTGATCTTCCCCATCAGGTTAGGAAATAACATAGTCTTCTCTCTATGTTCATAATAACAAGATGTTGTTTAAATGTTTAAAATGACTTGTAATAAATCAATAAATGACCAGCTAATGAACATTCATGTTTTTGTTCCCCTGTGTGAACATACTAGTTTGCCTCATCAATCATGCAAAATATATCACTGACATGGAGGCATCAAATGGTGATTTTTCTTCCCTGTAATTTATAGCAGCTGCATGTATAGCCACACAATGGGAGATGTCAGTGCTGATAAATGACATCACTTGTGTACTCAAATCAAGTGTCTCGCTGAAGTTTCATACAATAAATTAAATTTAATGGCTCCCACCCTGCTGGTGTTTTGAATTTTTTCACCCAGACCTTGGTTGAGCGTGATTAAAAGGCCTTTTTAATTTTTTTTTTCTTGTTCGCTTCCCTCAATCCCTGAGCAAAGCATGATAGACATTTTGCCAGAAGACAGAACACAGAATTTCCCACTGTTCCACTATACCTATAATTTGATGATAATAATAATAATAATAATAATAATAATAATAATAGTAATAGTAATAGTAATAATAGTAATAATAGTAATAATAATTTTATTTCTATACCGCCCTTCTCCCGAAGGACTCAGGGTGGTGTACAGCCTATTTAAAAACAGAATAGACATCAATTTAAAATAATTTAAAAATATTAAATAAATTTGGCTTAATTTTAAAACCCCAAAAATTTAAAACATAAGGAAATGTGGTTTATCAAAATGAATAATCGCTAAGATTCTTTATTTCTTTTTTTAGCTGAGCAACTTGAAGAAGCTTTCTCACCTAGACCTGAGCATGAATCGCTTCACTACTTTGCCACTAGTTATCCTAGATATGCCTAACTTGGAGTGGCTAGATATGGCGAGCAACCGGCTGAAAGAAATCCCTGGCAATATTGACAAGTAAATGCAGTGATTCATGTCATTGTGATTTAATTATCAAAGATCTTGTAGTTTTAATTTCATAGACAAAAGCAAAAGGTTAGGGTTGTTACTTACCTAATGAAACAAATACAATAGAATTCAGGCAAGCAGTTGAATTATATGTATCCTGTAACAGTCATAAGATATAAAGGCTTTTAAAAACATGATCTAAAAATCTAAGTAGATAAACTGAAATGTAGACCATTTGGATCCCATTGTTTTAACTGATTTCAAACATATACAAAAATTATCATGGAAATTGACTGATTTGAATAATTTCCATAGCATTTTAATTTATATCATAGTTTTGAGCATTTTTTGTCAAAAAAAAAAAAATCAGGTAAATAGTTATTTGTTTTGCAGATGGGGAAAGTTAGATTGAAAAATATAATGGTTACCAAAATTTAGACAGTGGTCAATTTAAAATCAGCCATTCTAAGTTCAGATCTTTATTTGATAGCATTTACAATTTTAATAATATATGATTCATTGCTGTTGAAATTACAGAAAATGCATTTGGAGAAGGATAAACAGATAAACAATAATTGCTGAAGACTGCTGTTCATATTTTTTCCCATGGAAATCTGCAGTATATCAGATGTATTAATATTTTTTATTGAGTTGGAATGGTTATGAAGTATTGTCAACTTCACCCAATATAAATAGCAAGCAGAAAAGTATGATTCTCTAGCAGGGAGTAGGACTTTTAAGACTCCAAATTGCTTAAGGTTATCACATTTTACTTTTTCACTCCAGGTTTACTGCCAAAATGAGAAATTTCCACAGTAAGACAAACTAATGTATATAATCTTCAGTTGTTTTTCTGACTAATTAATAGACCTGTTTGACTTTACAGAGCAGAAAACTTACATACTTTGTGGCTCCAAAGGAATGAAATAACCTGTTTGCCTGAATCCATTTCTAATCTTAAGAATATGACTACCCTTGTTCTCACCAGCAACAAACTGCAAGATATTCCTGTTTGTCTGAAGGACATGCTAAATCTAAGGTAAGGGGGAAAAAACCCCTCTTAGCTGCAGTTGGAAAATTAAGTGCTCTAGATAAATGTAACCAGCTTTATTGCCCACGGCTGATATTTTTAGTTGTCTTTTCAAAACAGTAGTCAGATTCGTCCCCCATAATGGTAACTGTGCCATGCTGAATGCATCATTAATCTCAGCTCTATTCTCTCCACAATATCTGAGAACTGACATACTGTCCTGTCCTAGGGAGCAATGACAATATACAGATTCATCAGCATCTATTAGAGAATAGCTGAGATGAAAGAAATCTAGAACTGTAATAGCATATGACATTTTAAATTACCTTGTGCCTTTCTTGGCAAAGTTTTTCAGAAGTGATTTGCTACTGCCTCCTTTTCCTAGGGCTGAGAGAAAGTGACTGGCTCAAGGTTAACAAGTTGGCTTTGTGCTTAAGACAGGATAGGAACTCATGGTCTCCCGGTTTCTAGCCTGCTGCCTTAACCCCTATATCAAACTGGTGTTTGGGCTAAAGATACAATTATTCGAATTTCATATGGTACAGAATTTTAGTTAACGTGAAAATAATGATCATGACTGAACCACATTTTCTCCTCATAGGTATAACCATGAGATCAGATGGTTTTGTTTAGTGTATTCAGAGTTTACAATCTCACTTGAATTTGATATATTGTGGTCATTTTTGTTAAAACAAGCTGTGACAATCTGGAGTCTACACCTCTACCATACAATTTTTATCTAAATTTTAATTTAAAACGAATGCTTATTTAAAAAAATCCAATGAGGTTTAAAAGTCAACATGGCTAACATAAATCAGATTCTCACATTTCTCTGTAGAATGAGAAGGGGGGGGGTGTTAGTTGAATGCAGATCTAAATACTAAACCATTATTCAGTATTCCATGTGAAATGAGACTTAAGATTCCAAAGAACACGACATATTAACACTGCCTTCACTGAGGATTCATAACGATTGTATTACCAATATTTTTACCTAAAAAACAAATTATTAAATTTGAAAGTGTTTCCAGTTTATGGAATACCAGGTCATTAACTCCATTATATCATATATAATAGATTTGTCAACTTCAGAGATAATCCATTAAAGCTGCAAGTTACACTTCCTCCTTGCCAGAATCCCGAAGAAGAGGAGGAACAAGAACTCTATGGAATTCAATTTATGCATTTATATATTCAGAAGTTGCTCAATGGTGAAGGTACCATTTGTTTATGATTAAAAATAAATATACTCAGTGAGGAGAGTGCCCTATTTTTCAAGAGCTGAGTTTGCACATAACATTAAACCAGTTTTAATGACGGTTTGTTAGACAAGCAATAGTGGCCTTGAGGATAGAAAGCATGAAGCCAAAATAGCTTCATAGTAAACAATAACAACAAACATTATCTCTTTTAAAAGGATTGAATCAGACAAATGTGGCCTACAATGTATTTAAGCATTGTTAAAGGAAAAATTTGTGATACTAGAATTTCCTTGACATATTGTGGCATTTTATAGTGTTTAAAAGTTGAGATCCAAAATATTAAATGTACCCAATCCTACCTTGAACATTAAATAATTCTGATACATGAAGCAGAGCCCTAATACTGCTCGCTTTAGCACTAAAATGCATGATTTTAATGTTATATGAACCACGCTGCAATGGTCCAATGAACAGATCTTTGAAACATCCTGGTTTATATGAGATCACAGAATTCTCGAGGGATTAATCCTTTCCTGTTGTGCTATGGAACTAGAGAAAAACCTCTCTTCAAGAGAACTGCAGGGGCAGAGTGAACACTGCAAAAAGAGCACAGGAAATTCCACTTGCTGGTGCATAACCATTAAGTACTGTGAAAAACAACATGCTGGCCCACAGTGGGTTCATAGGACAGTTTAGATAGATACCTTAATCTGTTGTAAAAATATAGATTAAAATACTTTTGAAAACCTCATACAGATATACTGGGGAAAAACACTTTTAAAAAATTGGTATATTTCTGAAAAATGTACATTTCTTGGCAAACATTACATTTTTCTTTCAGAAAATATGGAAAGTGATATTCCAGGTGCTGCTGACACCACTGACTGAAGACGAAAAATAACACTTAAGATGATATGGTATTATAATTTTTTGGAGCAACAGATCTGTTGTAACAAATATTTTGAGCTGTCTACTTATTAGTATTTTTTTTCTGATCTAAAGGATGTTGTAAACTATCCCTAGTTTGTTAAACACAATCCTGGATGTTACAAACTTGCAAAAATCACGGAAGCAGTGAAACTCCTGAAAGACCTCTTGAAGCTTTTAAGTAGTTGTGGAAGATAATGAAGACTGAGATGGAACAGCTGTCAGAAGAACATTTTCTAATGACACACTTGAGTCTGTATAGCGCTGCAACACAGCTTCATATCCTCTCTGCTGTAAGTACTCGATCCGACCATGATCAATCAACAGTTTGCAAAGGTGCCCTATCTGTTTTCGTTCATCAGCGGTCAGCAACCTAGAACAAAAAAAAAAAAAAGGGGGGGGGGGGGGGAAACCTTTAGAAACTAAAGTGACTAACTTTTGGATGCTCCATTTCAAGCAATTCATTGCAAACTTGTTTTTTCCCCCTCCAATTTAAATCAAGGACTCATTGATTAGTATCCTACTAATCTGTTGTGACATAAATGTTAACTGAATAGACACTACTTCAATTTTAGACTTTCTAGCTGCAGAAATGACAAAATACATTTTGGCAGTGAAAATATTTAAAACAACGTATTTTTTCTGAAAACTATTGTTGTTAGAGTATAAGGATGATCACCTTGCTGGAAGTATGCAAGAACAGTCACTTGGGCAAAAGAAGCAAAAACATTTTTATGTCCAGAACAATGAGATAATATTTGATAGTGACTCAGGCAGATGCTACCTAATTCACTGGAATATCAGAAGGAGGAGGTATAGTACAATCAGCCTTGAAATATTGTATTATTACAGTAAATCTCAATAAAAATAGTTTTAGTCTTCCTGTGGAGTTAATTTCCTAGTCTGGTTTATGCAGTGGGGCTGATAATTGTACTCAAAGTGACCACATACCCTTGAAGACTATCCAAACTGCAGTCAGTATTTATATTATCCTGATCATGTTCATCTACGTTTCTTTGTCCTTTATTTTGTATGCCACTTCTGCTGGTCTCTGTTCTTCTTTCTCTCATGCCACAGGTAGCCCAGCTGGTCATTCTTTTGAAAAAATTAAATTCTATGGGGCCAAGTCCTACTCTTGTAAAGAAATCTTGGCCAACATAATGCCTCCACTCACATCTGTGATGACAACAAAGTGCAATAACAATTCCAGCTACAGGGCTCCAGTTTTCAGCTGCACACTTGCTATGTATTTGGCCAGGACAATCAGTCTTGAGGCGTTTAGTGACTGGGCCTTCCTTTTCTTCAGCACGTGAATTCACATAGGTGTCAACTAAGCACCTCAGAGCAAGATCTGTGAATAGATTATTTTTATATTTAATTGCTACATGCAGCATCAGCATACACGTACACACATTAATGTAACTGTGAAAATTCTATATAACTTATACTTGGACCATATTATCAAGCAGTTTAAATCACTTTTTTACTTTTGCCACAAATGTATTATGAAGCATTCATTTTAAGCTAGCTCTTTAGTATTACTGTTTAAATAAGCATGTTTATTGACTTCAATAAGCCTTGAATAAGAGTCAACGGTAATCAATGTATGTTAGCAAGCATGTGTACATGAATAAAAGTTGTTGACAAGCTTTCTTCAATATCTTTTAAATGACTCTATTACACTATTTTCAATACATGAGCAAGCTATACAATTTTACCTGTTGCAGCACCACACAGATGTTTTCCAATTCCTATTAGAGATAGGTTCTCTTCCACAAGAAGAGGAACTTTACCTGTCAAAAAAAAAATCCAAACGATTATGACATTCTACTATCATGTTTATGAACAATACACTTCATCCTTCCTCAACTTAATTCTTGGCCAATAACGCTCATGATCCCTGAACATTATCTCTGTTAGTGCTGATGGGACACGTAAGTCAAAACATTTGGGGGATTTAAAGTAAGGCATGCTGCTACATTAATATGTAATAAACTAACAAAGGAAAACACAGATTTAATTTAAAGGTTAATTACAGGATATTAATACTAATGTGGATTTGTTTTGATCGACTTGTTGTAATAACAAGTCACAGAAGGGAAGCAGTATTAAATGTAATGTATATTAGTCTAATCTAATCTAATCTCATCTCATCTCATCTCTCTCTCTCTCTCTCTGTGTGTGTGTGTGTGTGTATCAGCATGGTGTTTCCACAAGTGCTTTTCTAGCAGAATACGGAAAGCCCATACAATAACAATAATACAGTTATCCTAAGTAGAAGGGGTTTAGAGAGGGGTAAATAGCAGAAAAAAACAAGACAGCAGTCACTAAGAAGAGGGCTGTTTAAAAAAAAACAGCCATTAGGAGACTGGAGGAGCTGGGGGCCATTCTAGGACATCACTAGTGACAGCTAGGAACAGAGGGAAGAAAAATGCAGGAAAAATTGGAGAGGGGGCGGGGCTATTGAGATACCATAATGCTTTTATTTTTAACGTAATCCAACAGACCTTATATTTGAGCAAGAATCTTGGCATCCAAAACCAACTCTGCAGCAACTGCATTTCTACCATAACTACAGTGAACACTACCTGCAGTATTATTTTTTTTAAAAAACCCAACCATGATCATTTGCACTGTTTTTCAGAAAGTTCATAGAGAGACCTTTAAGCAACTTACTTAAACATAAATGCTGGATATCAACTTGAAGCCTCTCAAAGTAACGTTTTCTGTGTTTGCCATCCACCTGCAGGGTCAAAACTAATTATTATGACATGTTGGGTGTATATACACTGGTTGTATTTTACAATCCAGACAAAAATGTTTAGCGCTGGCAAGATTCCAAATCCAATAATTTTAAACCTTTGTTTAAACATTTTTTTTGGACATACAGCATTATAAAATGTTAATATTAATTATAGCAATAATTGCCTTACCTTGAACCTAGTAGATGCCCTTTCAACAAGAAGAAAATGAACATCTTGGGCGTCCTGTAAAGCTATATCCAACCAGTGGGACAGTTTTCCCCGTCCGGCTCCAAATTCCACAAAACAGTTCCCTTGTCCAAGCAAATGCAATCTTTTCATGTTACCTAATATAGAAGCCTATAGACATCAAGTTTATTTATGAACCAGCAAAGATATTCATTGTACTATTTGAATTAAGCATTAATTAATCCTAAAATCGGCAACAGGTATTTGTAAGTCTATTGTATTATTAATTGTAATTCTTTCAATATGCATGGGCTTTGTGATTTAGTCCTATACTATCTTCCTTAAGGTTTGAATGACTTATTACTCTAAATCCAAATTATATTATTTTCAGTAGATTTAGAAAACTAATTATTTCATGCTGACATTTATTTTTAATATTTACTACAAAAATCAATTTCTTTATGCAAAGCCTAGAACAACAACAAAAACCTTGAATGACTTTACAGTATACATAAAAAAATCAGATTCATCAATATTCTTATGAAATTTTAGGGAAATCTAAAGGGTTGTGGATTAAACCGAGATTAAAGATCATGTATAAAATTATCAGTGTTTTAAAGGGAACAATAAGTTGTTCCCCGACTAGGAAGCAATTTATTTAGAACAAGAACTTGTACTAAATATATTATGTTTTTTGCAAAACAGGTACCTGTTGCTTCAAATGTTTAAAAGCTGCATCTCCATTTTGAGGATCATTTAGGGCTTCTTGTAAGGCTTGATGAGAAAGAATTTGGTCCTTAACTTTATAATTTATAGCTGAGAATAGAATGTAAAATTTCGTGTTTGAGTTTGAATTGAATTGACAATGTAAATTTTCTCTCAAATGTCTAGTTGCTATTGTATGAGAAAACTAACATCCAACTCTGCAAAAAAATTAAATATAAACAACTTACAATGTAATGTTTACAATATTTACATTGTAAAAAAAACTTTACAATGTAATTCTCATACACATCAAAAACCGTAAAATTACAAGTTATTTCAAATTATTTCATCATTTATATTGTGATTACCCACATAAAAATAAAACACTTACTGTTACTTGCTTTTTTAAGCTTCTTAATTAAATTCTCTAGTTCTTGTTTAGAAAGTGCAGAAATTGGTGCCTGCTGGAATGAACAAGAATATTTCTTACTTTGTTTATAGAAAACCATCAATACAAAGCAAAAATAAGGCCAAAAAAATGTACTTCATCTGTTCTGATCTAAACAATATCCAATTCACCTTGAGTAGAAAATATATTTAGATGAAGGGCCAGAATAGTAATAAATAAATACTGTGTTTCCCTGAAAATAAGACCGTCTTATATTTTTTTGAACCCTGAAATAAGCGCTTGGCCTTATTGCCATGTGCTCAAAAGCCCGATTGGGCTTATTATCAGGGGATGTCTTATTTTGGGGGAAACAGAGTAGTACAATTTACAGGAATAGCTTCTCTTTTTGTTTTGTTTTCAATCACTCGGTGCCAATAAGGGTAACCATATCAAACCTTCAGGTTATTGGGGGATGGATGTTTGTATCCTATATACTGTTCTCTTTTTTTAGAACTCTTGATACCATTTTCGAATTTTGAGTATTTTAGCATGCTACACAACATTTGTATTCAAGAACTATTCAGTTTCAACTCTGTCATTGCAAAGTCGGCAGTTTGGATTGTCAGTGGATTTTTGTATCTTTACTTTCATGGCATTAGTTTGTAGTGCTTGTTCTTGAGCAGCAATTATTATACCTTCCGTTTATGCCCATGTCAAGTTGTTATAACACTTTCCTTCAATGTTTTTCAAGTGCTGTCCATGTAGAGCTTTGGTTTTCCATTTATTCTGTCATTCAACTGTTTTTCCTTATATTCTGCCTTTGTTTCTGTTGTTTTTATAATGTTCTCCATTTTCACAGCCTGCAGCAATCTTTCTGTGCTTTGGTTCACATAATCATTCAAACTTCGTTTTTCTTCTTCTATAGTTTGATGGATTTGCAATAGTCCTGTGCCCCCTATTGTTCTTGGCAGGTACAACCTGTCGGTGTTACTTCATGGATGTAAAGCATGGTACATATTCAAAAGTTTATTCATTTTCCGGTCCAGGTTTTCCAGTTCAGTCACAGTCCAGTTGATGATTCCAGCTGGGTAGTGTATCCCTGGAACTGCCCATGTATTAATGGCTTTAATTATG